AGGAGGAGGAGGATGATAGAAGTGGTGGTTCAGAAGAATTGTCAGAGTTAGTTGGCGGCAGCGGGGAGGAAGTGGCGGGCAGGGGGATAAAGTTTTGTTCAGTTCGAGAGGTGCAGTTGATCAGAAGATGTCCAACAATTCGGATTCGAGCCCGGAATATCCGTCGAAATCGAGGACACTTTGGAAGCGGTTGTGCCGCGGCGTTGCTTACAGGGCGAAGATGTGATTTGCTGGTTTCGTGTTTCGCTTTGGCGGCGGCTATGCGGTTGGCTTCGTGGATAGCAGCGCCCGTCTTCACTGTTCTCCTCCATGTCGGACGATCGCGGGCGAGCTCTTCCCAGTTGGTCGGGTTGATTTGCAGGCGCTTCAGGGAGGACTTCAGGGTAGCCTCCGTGACGACGAGAACCCGTCGCGACGTCTACGTAGTAGAGGCGTTCTGGTAGTCACTCGTTGTCCATGCGCACCAGGTGGCCGCTCCAGCGCAACTGCATTTGGCTCAGCATGAAGTATATGCATTCAATTGTGAGAAAAATGCGCTGAGTCGTCGATCTCACTCTCCCTTCACATTCTCAGGCCACAGCCACTGTCCGAGCCGGTCAGTTGACTTGAGCGTGGAATGGACGTCGTGGCTGACATGGTAAAGTGACCGTGTATACGCGCGCCACATGCACGACCTGGCTCCTCAAACACGAGCGCATTGATTACACACAACTCGGGTTGAGCAGCCTACATCTGACATGCGTGAGGGTGCCGTGAACACGCTGAGAAGGAACTGTTTCGGCCTGGCTCTCTTAGTGGACGGCGGTTGTTGAAGAACGCGATCAAATTTGCATCGTCCAGCGGTTAGACAGGTCGCTCACAGTTCTATATGGCGATGCGGATCCCGAGGTGCTTATCGACGAACAGAAGTTCATGGATTGTGACTGTGGATATACGTGACCGGAAGTGCATCCGTCTGTGGTTGAGGACGTGGCCAGCCGTCCCATAGACAAGGCGGATCCTGGGGCGTTCGTCGCGTTTAGCGTCCATCAACATAGAGGGGAACATAATACTGCGAATTCGTCCGTGATGCGTGCAATTATGTCATCATGGAGCTGACGCACCCTCTGACTGAATCATCCCGGACAGCCAAATCACCGCATGATTATCCACATTTCGTCACAATTCACCCTGTCAAATGCATTCGTCCGATCCACGAAAGAAAAGTGCAATTGGGTCCGCATCTCCTGACGCTTCAACTGCAGCTAGGGGGGGGGGGGCGAAGATGCTGTCCATGGTGCCACGATAACGGCGAAAGCCGCACTGACTATTCGCCAGAAGACCTTAATTCAAGTGATTGTTCAGGCGGTTGAGAAGAATGTAAGCGAATATCTAACGGGCAATGTCCAGCAAAACGATGCCTCGGTAGTTGCCGCAGATCTGGCGGTTTCCTATCCGTTTGTATAGGTGGATGCTGTTGGCGTCCTTGAAATCCTGCGGGACTTCTCCTTGACGCCACATATCCTGGAACAGTGCTGTCAGATTCTCCATGAATTGGGGACCATCGTGCTTTTAGACCTCCACAGAGCTCGCGTTCGATGCGGGCGTTCTCCCGCTGGAGAGCTTCTGCACTGTCCTAATAGTCTCGTGGAGAGAGAGTGGGAGGTCGAATTTAGTGTTGGTCTTCATTTGGGCAGGCGGGCGATGGCGGTGTCGGAGATGTTGGAGGGGCGATTGAGGAAGCCTCTGAATTATTCGGCCGATCGCTGCAGAATTTGTGCCTTCTTGGTGAGTGGGGTTTTTCAGTCGGCGCCGAGGAGAGGTGCAATACCTTTAGCGGGCGGACATTAGATGGCGGAGAGGAAGTTCTTCCATTCGTTGTGGTCGCGCGAGCCCCTCGATCTCCATTGCCTTGCGGGCCAACCGTGCGTTCTGCATCTCGCGCAGACGCTGTCGCACGAGGCGGCGGCAACGGTAGAATGCTGCTTTGTTGTCGTCTTCGTCGGTGGGGTGGTCTATGTAGGCTTTTAGCAGGCAGTCCTGCTCTGAGAGAAGTTGTAGATGGCGGGATGCGCGACCGAGGACGGCCAGCGCCTGCGACTGGACTTTGTCCTAACAGTTCTCCACGGAGCCGTTCTTGTCAGCGGCGGCGGCGGCGGCGGCGACCGTTATGTTGTCTAGTCGCTGAGGTTGGTCGTTTCTTAAATGGAGATGGTGAGCGGGCAAAGACAACGAGGCAATTTTAAGCTTACCCGGGGGTCGTTTACCTTGACTTCCCCTGTTATGTCCCATTGTCTGCGTCTCGTGCCTTCATGCCGCCGTGGAGCCGACGCACCATCTGACTTAATCTTTCTCGCTCTTACTCTGTCACTTACGCCACCGTCGTTTATCCTTCCCAGGATAAAATCTTAAGCCTGTATTTCATAAAGGCTGTGCAGTTTTCAAGCGGTGCGATTTTGCTTGGTGTTTGCCTAACTCTGATCGATAACACGCTCTAAAGACGACTTAGTGTAACGTTCAGCCGCTGAAAGACAACGATTCCACACCAGCATCTGGATCACCTGTGGCTACATTGAGCTTAGGCGAAGGCCTAGCGTAATTCAGGGCAGCAGTCGCTGTGAGACTGAAAAGGAGATCGAGTAGAGAGTGCCTCATTCTCTTCTTTCACGGGAATCGATGCCCCACCCTGATAACACGCAACGCGGGCGTGCCTGCAATCTGCACACAGGAAACGCTTCCCAGCCAGCTCCCCTCTCTGCATAGGATCAGTAGATTTTAGTACAAATCAGTGCACCTAGAGTGGCGTGATCTGCTCGCGTCTGTCTCTTGGTTTTTGAATAATGACAGGTGCCCTAATGCAATGAGTGCAATGCTTGTTAGTCGAATTACAGAGCTGCAGCTTTTCAACCAGATCGCGGGGAATTTACCCGACATGCCAGTGTTGTGCCACCCCTGAAGGTATAACCACTGTATAGTCTTAAATTGCCTACACGTCAGAACCGAGAGCCCCTTCAGCTTACAGAATATATTTCCTAAAGTCTCACGCATTCACGTTGATTGAATTTTTAAACCTCGGTGCCACGGTGGGATTCGAACCCACGACAGCAAGGGTTTAACTATGTCAAGTAATCCATATCTCCTTATTTTGACTCGCAAGGCGAGCCTATTGCAGCTTGACCGACTATTGTCGATATTTCCGTATTAAACTGAAGAACAAAGACGCGTTATTTTGATGCGGATATGAAATACTCGGCTTCTCGGTGGAGAAGTTTAATACGGCTAACGCTCTAGTCACACTTGTTAAGAGACTCCACCGGACGAAGCTAAATTAATCGTGTCTGCCATAATACCTATGAATTACGTGAGACTCGTAGCCATCAGGTGAATTCTAGATGAATAAATTAGAAAATACTGCTTGGGAAATCAACTTACTTTATCAGATCTGGTGAATACCAGACCTTGAATTAGATCGGACGGGTAAACTTGATTTAGATGTAATTAAACTCGCGTCGTCCGGTGGGGCCTCTTATATCAGGCGGCTAGGCCGTTGGATGTACTAAAGACTCTTTTTGCTGTTGTGGGTTCGAATCCCACCAGTTAGGCTTAGGAGCAACTTCGGAGACTGAAACCACTTATTTTTCAGAAGTAAAGCATTCTAAACAGTGTAATTTTGATGTGATGAGAATCACTCGATAGCTTGGACGAACATAAAGTTCACTTGATCTTCCCGATCCCTTTTCGGCCAAGGACAGCAACAGACCGATGTTGTGGACGTACAGAGGGTGACATTTTTATAAGCTGCAATTCCTATGCTATCATGCGGATGAATATAATCATAACGTCCGCATTCTTTTCAGCTTTTCGTAAATCGTTTGACGATTTCCCGAGTAAATATGTTTAAATTGTGACTGTTCTCGATCTAGCCGTTTTTTAATTACTTACATCATCCTTTGTCCTAAAAACTGACTTTGGCGATTGTTTGACTTTGGAAACGGGCATTTTCGTTAGAAATGCGGTTTGCCTGGCAGGCTGAAGTCGACGCTGTATTGAAAGTAGATGAGTGTCCCTTTCCAATTAATGCCAGACGGATCCCGATCTGTTCAGATTGGCAAAGTTGAGAGATCCTGGTTGATTATTTGTCTAATAGAACTACCGCTGAACCATTCACAATGCTCCGGCGTAGTCTTAACTGGCAGTACCTTTTCTGGACATCTAATTACCAGGTCGTGTAATGCACCATTCTACCGAAATCGCACATTCGGTTAGTTTCAATTCTCCAGTCTTTAATTAATTGTGCAGGTATGTGTATACCTGTGTGCGGTCTACCTGCAAGGAGCCTTTTAATGCATTAAAAAGCACACACTAAAAACTCTGCCAACTGCCAATTTTGTTGTGTTTAGTTTAAGTCTGGCAGTAGTACCAAGGTTTTTCCACCAATGAGAAATATCCACTTATCTATCATCGACATAACCGGCAGTATCTTGTTTAGCCATCTGAGCACTTGGTCGTTTCAAACACCTCGCAATCTAAACCACGCACCCGATTCGTGTTAATTCACAATACTTGAATGGCCTGTGAACACATCCGTGTACATGTGGGCTGTCTGCCATTTAGATATTTCATAGCGCCGATTTCCCTCTCTAAATGTCCCACACGGATGCACATATCCGTGTCCGATCGTCGGATGTCAGACTGTTTCTATATTAAAGGACGGTAGGATGTTAATAAACAGTTTGTTTATTTAATGCACATTCCGCTACGACGAAATTTAACATAGGTAAATCCACTCCTTACGGAGCTCGTCGACTTCACCGTTGACGGACTTGAAGGCGAGCACCTGTATATGACTGTGCTTAATTTAAAACTCAGTGTGTGTGTGTTCACCCTTTCAATGTACAAGGGTTCTAAAATCAGAAATCATTATTTCGTTTTCCGCATCTTCTCTTCCTCCTCCTTGGTTTGCTGTCGTGGATTATGCATCTCTAATTCATGCGAATATACAAACACGCACACTTAAAAAAAATGAAATCATTAAGTACGTTAGAGACTCGTATTGTACGTGATCATTCAGTGAATTCGCAATTGACTGGACATATTGCACCTATGTTCGGTGGAACGCTAATACAGATTGACGAATGGGCGCTAATTTAGCCTTGGACTGGCGTGTTTCGTTGTTAATCACAACTCCATCGCATTTGTTTCACGTTGAACGTAAGAAGACTTCTAATCGCAGATTATAGATACTTACAATAACTGAATAATAATGCCTTCTTTGTCGGAGGTAATCATGTAGGTATAGAGAAGACTGCGTTTTCTCTTAGGAACAACTTCGGAGACCGATATCACATAATTTTCAGAACTGGAGCTTTCTTAACAGTGTAATTTTACTGTGAAGAAAATCACTCGATCACTAGGGCCAAAGTAATGTTCACTAGTAGTTTCAAGTTCATTTTCGAACAAGGAAAGCAACAAATTGAAGTTGTGAAGGAACAGAGGGTGTAATATGTAAAAGCTAAACTTCCTCTTATATCACACGCATATTCTTAATAATAACGTGTGCACTCCTGCAAATATTCGCAATTCGTTTTATGATCTGTGGAGTAGATATGTCCCAAATGTGACTGACGGCGATCTACCCGTGTTTTAAGTAATAACACAGATTTTTGTTTTCATAACCGACTCTGACATTTTTAATGGAAATGTGGATATCTAGCAAGGAAAAAGTCTACGTATGTCTGAAAGTCCGACCCAATGTTGGCATTCTCTGAATGCACGTTTCCAATTAACGCCAAACAAACCCCGACCTAGCCCGCATGTTTTTCAGCGCATGTGCCGCTTGAGCGGTTTTAGGGACACTGTCATTGTTCAGTGACGTACACACTCCACGTCTACGCACGCCGCTGACTACCTGCTGCCAAGGTCATCTAGGGGCGCTTTTGCTCGCATTCAGCGTTCGGCCATCTGCGAAATCTGCCAGCTGCGTCATCCATCGAGCACGATCGATTTTCTTTCGTCAGGCGCGCAGCCCCTCTCAAGGTCCAGGGGCCACCAACTCGAGGTACGCGCCTGATAACTGACTGTCCACCGGGTACGCAACATAAAGCAGGGTATTCCCACGTAGATAGTGCCGATTCAGTTAGCCATATCTGTGGTTGCACCTTAATCACTAATCATGGTTATGTCCGAACATGCGTTTTCTCAAATACCCGTGACATCAATCATGTGAGCTTGTCGTGCTCGGTGAAATCTTTGCTAAGCATATGTGCCGAGACAGCCTAACCGCTAAATCTTTCTCAGAGGAAGTAACGGATCAGTTGCTGCTACGAAGACAGACAGCGTACATGCCGCCAACATCTTCCGTAGACCGAAAACTAAGGTGACTGTTCATGAAATATCAGGTCATAATCACATATGCCGAATTCCTTCAATATCGAGAGCCGAAAGCAACTCACACAATAGTATATCGCATTTCATGGGGGTGGGCTATATTTGCTTAAAGGAGTGTGACACTATTCAGACTTGGTGACATCTGTCTTAATGCATAATGCCAAGTCCGCCATCCACGTTCTAACTGTTCCTGTAGCCTGTCGCCGCCGTTAGTTGTACTCCCGAAAATGAGCATCTCCATCGTAAAGAAAAAACTGGTTCATGCATTTCATTCCTTGCAGAGGTAAACACATCATTTATAATCGGTCACCTTAGATGTTGGGCACTGCACACCCATTGGACGTTTTCAATAAAAACGACAAAACAGGTTAATTTGCATGTCGTATATTTCTTAAGTTGCGGGTCATAGAAGGAACATAAAGAAATGCAGAAGTTTACATGCGAATGCCTGCAGCTCCAACGATCTTTTTGAGCGTCTACAGTGGTTTCTTCAACGACCAGGTCCAAGCTGTCAAGTCGTTGCTGACATCAGCTGATCCACCAGGTGCTGTGAAAGTCTCCGCCGTGTTTCCTGAGCCTGCATATTGTTAATAATTCCAGTGAAATTCCACTTTCACAAATATGAAAATAGAGAAAATAGCATACGATTTGCACAATACCGCTAGTAATACTTTATTTAAATAAAAATCAGAGTGGACAAAGTAAGCTCTGAACGCAGTATCAACTGAAGACGCGTCAAACATTCGGCTGCATGATTCTCGTAAAAATCAACTTTAATAAGCAGACGATTTGCACTACAAACAGCCTACCATCGGCCCTAACCTCGTTGTGCTTACGAAGATATCGAAACGCCATGCAAAGTTACACTTTCACATGGTTGCCGTCATAGGAATGTCTCAATCTTCCTCATAAAAAGGGATTACGTAGAAAAACACATGGAATGGCATGCAATAGGGCGTGAGAGGAGGGTGGAGGAGGAATGCAGTCACGCTGTGAGTCAGTTTAGAGCAAAGGAGGAGGAGGAGGAGGAGGAGGAGGAGGAGGAGGAGGAGGAGGACGAGAACAGCAACAGATTGGATTTGTAGGCTAGCAGAGGGTAAATTATGCATAGGCTGCAATTCCTCTACTATCACACGCATATTCTTAATAATAACGTCTGCACTTATGCAAATATTCGCGATTCGTCTCATGATCTGTCGAGTAGATATGTCCAAATTGTGACTGATGGCGATCTACGCGGGTTTTAAGTAACAACACAGCCTTTTATTTTTGTAACCGACTCATGCATTTCTGACATCTGTAACTGATATTTTTGATGGAAATGTGGATATCTAGCAAGGACGAAGTATACGTAAGTCTGAAAGTCGGATCCAATTTTGACATTTATTTAGTGCACGCTTCCAATTAACGCCAGATGTAGTCAGTGTGTTAATCCAGCGCATCTAATGCTCGGCCGGTTTTAGGGACGCTGCCATTGTTCAGTGACGTACACACGCAACGATTGCGCACACGCCACTGACGACCTGCCGCCAAGGTCATCTAGGGGCGCTTCTACTCGCATTCAGCATTCGGCCATCTGGCGAAATCTACGTGCACGGACTGCGATCGATGCATGCTGCGTCATCTGACTGTCCACCTGCTACGCAACAAGAAGCAGGGCGTTCCCACGCAGATAGTGCCGATTCAGTAAATCGTATCTCTGTTTGCAACCAAATCACCAACCAGGGTTATGTTTGAACATGCTTTTCCTCAAGTACCCTTGACATCATTCATGTGAGCTCGTCGTGTTCGGTGAAATCTTTGCTAAGCATAAATACCGAGACAGCCCAACGGCTAAATCTTTTTCCAGAGGAAAAGACGGATCAGTTCCTGCTACGGAGACAGACAGCGTACCTACCGCTAACATCTTCCGTCGACCGACTACGTTCGTTGGAAGTAATACAGGGCTACAGGTTTGCAACCTGCCTGCGGGAAATTTATCTGACGTATCAGTGTTGTGCCACATTGGCAGGTACAACCACTGTATGGTCTCAAATTGCCTATCCGTCCGAATCGAGGGCCCCTTCAGCTTAAAGAATATATTTCCTAAAGACACACGTACCCACCTCGATGGAACTGTAAAACCTCGGTGTCACAGTGAGATTCGAACCTGCTACAGAAAGCGGGCGCTTTAGTACAGCCATCAATCTAGCCACATGAACTACGAGGTTCCACCTGAATACGTGATTTGCGTCAATTTTACCCGCCCAACCTACTGCAAGGTCTGGTATCCACCAAATCTGACAGTAATTTGACTGACTAAGCAGGACTTTCCAATTAATACATCTAGAATTCACCAGATTGCGGCTATCATGCTCCCGTAATTCATGGGTGTTAAGGCAGATGTGATTAAATTCGTGCCGTTCGATGGGGCCTCGTAGTTCAGGTGGCCAGAGCGTTGGCCGTACTAAAGCCACCCTTTGCTGTGTCGTCGGTTCAAATCCTATCGACGCACCGAGTTGTTCACAATTGTATCAAAGTGAATTATTTGAAATCTGCCGCTGTGCTACACTCATGAACAGTGCCGCCTATGCCACGTCACTGCAGGCTTTTCTGTTGATTCCGAAGACAAGAAAAATGGAAAAACATTGACTAACCCATTTGGTGTGATTTCTGGTTAAATCTGAATAGTTAAAATATGCACCGCACTAATCAGAAAAGGCTGAAACCCTCGCGGAGCATCTGCGTTAACAAACTGCATTTTAATTAGGAATGAATTAAATAGATTGGGGTTACGCTTAGTGGCAACTTTGGAGTCTTAACTTATTTATTTTTTCAAAAATAAAGCTTTCTTATCAGTGTCATTTTGATGTGAGGAGAAACACTCGATCGCTGAATCGAGAGACTGTTCACGTGGGATTTTGGATCTCCTTTCGACCAAGGACAGCAAAAGATTGAAGTTATTAACGCACAAAGGGTGACATTTGTATAGACTGCAATTCCTGTGCCACCATGTGCATGTTTATAATAATAACGTCCGCATGCTCTGCAGCTTTTCGTAATTCGTTTGACGAATGCTGAGTGCCCTTTTTCCTATTGACGCCAGACAGACCCCAATCTAGTCCGCGTGTTGGTCCAGCGCATCTGCCGAGTAGCCGATTTTATGTTCAATGACGTTTTTTGTTTATGACTGGTCAGTCATGCCCGACGACTGTACATTCACAAGCAATGCAAGCGCATCTACTGGCAGGGAACCAGGTGTCAGCGTATACCAGGCTGCGAGGCCCATAGGTTGTTGATACTGCCATAGATCTGTCGACATAGAAGGGCGACACGTGGCCCTTCAGTTGGCCTGGGCGGGCACTCCTAAATGTTGAGCAACCAAGGAGACGTCGACTGGCAGCCACCACCAATGAAGCGCACACTATCTCCTCACATGCTGCAGAGTATCACAGAGCGCTTGAGAAGGAGCTATTTCAGCCTGGCTCACAGCACATTTGTCCGCCACTCCACACACTCGAGAAGACGCCGTGACAGCCTGACTGTCAGTCCATCGGTCAGCCACACCGAAGAACACACACACACACAACTGGGCAGACTGTGTGGACTCAGTTGGGGCGTCAGTCAGCAGCCTTCTGAGCCACAGAGATTGACACGCCCTGATGGACTCAGACACGAGCCACACACGCAGCAAGAACAGGGCAGCCGCATGGAGAAGTTGGCGAGACGCATGGGATGCGTGAGATGGGGTGGGTGATGTTGACATGCGCTGCGATTCTGGTGATTTAGGATGAGATGGAGTGGTGCAGCCGGCGGTTATCTACCACCGGTTTTCGTGAACGCGACTGTGGCCAAATAGAAGCATACGGTGAATAAATGTGGAAGTGGAATGTGGACAGTGGTGGCA